TAGCTGGTTTTGGTTCTCAAATCTTGGAAGTAGTGCTACAAACCACGCACCTGATTACGGCACTACCTGCTTAAACGTTGCTTCTCCGATGCAAAACCTAAAAGGGATTGCGGTGTCAGGAGATATTGCATGGAGTGCGTCTAAAGCCATCAGTCGCTCCTGACAATGCGTTCTTTTTTCCATCACGAGAGGGCAATAGGTGTCCGGATTGATTCTACTTTCAGCCCTTTGGGCTGAAGTGCCAGCTATGAATCCGACGAACCTAACAGTCAAGCCCACATACGACGATGACTAACCTAACTGCTAAACTGGAGTGATCTGGAATATGTTTCGATTGTCCCTGAAACTGTAGAAACCTGTGCAGAGAAAAGGAGAGCACTGTCTAGCATCCCCATATGACCTTAAAGTATCTGCAGCACCGTCATAGGGCAGGCTAAGTTCTTCCCCGCTCATCCCTGCAGCTCTTCTCCGCAGGCAATGGAGGGCTAAGCTACAGAGCCGGACGACTCAGGTGAAGATGTGTCCGTCTCTGCGAATTTGCAAGTCACTGCTCCTAGATGTTTCTAGTGGCTCTCGGGTTTCCCTTCACGCCACAGTTGTGGCACACAAAGGAACTCCAGAACCAGCACAGGATGGGATTGAAAGGAAAGGGGGGATGATGAGCCCTTGAGACAATGTTGTTTGACTGCTTGATTTGCAACATGTGGTTAATTGATGTTAATTGATGCATCAATTTCACACACACTTTTCAGTCGTTCCACACACGTTATGACATTTCTCAAAGGTCATGAGTTGAGTCGAAGGACACGAGTCAACCAAATTTCAGGATTGAAACATTGACATGTGTACCTCAACAATGCATGCAATTTATTGACTTGAATGGTTTTGAATCCGAAGACATGTTGCTACCAACTTCTAATGCTCCAGCAAAAGGACTTCGGACTGAAGTTACAGAAAATCCCAATCTTGTGCCGGTTGCTGTGCACAAACCCCAAGGGCAAAGACAAATAGCTATCTCTTTGGGCCATGGACCGTTCAGCCACAAGGGCCGATTCAAGAGAGACTGTTCAGTCAGCCACATGGTGAGTTGGTGAGTCAGCAGTTCACAAGGCAAGGTCAACATGTGCATGTGAGACATCCAAATCTTCCAAGATCAAATACTTTTTGGGGGAGGAATCCAAGTGATTAGTTTTTCAGCCCATGAACGCTATCGCAAGAACAAGCATGATTTGGGGCACAAGAGCAAGCTTGTCCCGGCCATTGGTACTAGATTGGAGGCCATCCCTCTTGGGTTGGAGGCCATCGCTAGTAGGTTGGAGGCCATCGCTATTAGTAGGTTTCTTGTTGCAAGGTTGGAAGAAAAACTACAAGCCTGTCCCAACTCAGTCAAGGAAAAGAGTTGACAGCCTCACCGCAGTTACTACGGGAGGGCACAGCCTCAGCCTGTGCTGCCAAGCACCTGCCAGGGAGGATCTCATGCAACAGGCTTGCTGCTGCACAGTCCACCAATGTGAGTGGTCTCTGCATGAACCGTTTATGTTGAAGTCTATTTTACACCGCAAAAAAAAAAGAAAAAATAACATCTTGTGTGGATCTGAAGTAAAGTCCTTCTTATATGGAGTAAAGCCCTTCTTATATGCCGCTTGTTAGGGCAGTATCACTCTTGCAGGACACTATTTGTACAGTATATTCAAAAGCTTCTGCAAAGTCGAAAACTCGACCCTGCTCAAACACAATCAGCAGTCTGAAGGGTAGATGGATAAGGTCTTTTTTGGGGGGGGGTGCAGTTAAACTGGTTAGGCAATATAGACAGGTATTGCTTGCACGAATCCATCTCAGTGGCGCCTTATCGCCAGCGAGGTCGCGCCGCTTCGGTGGAGTACGAGCTGTAAATCGGACTCAATGGCGAAAGCGGTGTCCTGAAGGACATGAACAAGTAGTAACAAGTGCATCGCTACTAGTAACAAGTGCCTTACTAGTAGTAACAAGAAGAATTTAATTAGAATTGTAATTAGGTTCTATCAATACTATTAGATTCAATACTATAATTTCTGTCTATTAGATTTTATCAATACTTCTATCGATCGGTATAGCAATAGCACGGTGAAGAGAACCCCACCAGTCTGCTCCATTCTTATACTCTGGTCCATTTACAGAGCTCCATCTTTTGCCCACTGACATACGTGATATCAACAGACCTCAGTCTAAAATAGACTCGAACAAGATACATCGTCAACAAACACAAACTGTCTTCTCGGAGACTCGTGGGATCATGCCGCTGTGCTTTCAAGTCCTGGTCGACTGATCTGGCTCGAGGGTCGATTGCGAGGCACCTAAGGACCAACGAGCTCGATGGAGGGCTCTGCTTCCCAGGTTGGTGTGTCTAGTCGGCTTTTTGGGTGGAATTCAATGGAATTCACAGCACTGGTTCGACCCCATGCGCAACACCGGGGTCACCTGAGGCAACACCATTGGCAGGTACCTCCCTAGGTCCAAATGTGTGGGAACATAAAGTCAAATGATTTCCCTTAGCTCGTGCTGTGTGCAACTAATGGTATCTAATAGTCATCACAAACGAACTCCAGCCATTGCTGATAAATCTGAGCTTGTCATCCATGCGTGGTCTGCGATGTATCAGGGAATCCCACAAAGCAATTCGGAGGCCAATTCACATTGCCTCAAGACTTGAAATCTGGACACTTTGCAGCTTCAGCTTGTGCCATACAGCTTCAGCTTGACCCTTGGATTGGATTCTACACTTTTGGATACTTCCAGGCCTTGGCTCCTCAGTGATAACTGGAATTGGGTGGTTTAAACTATGTTTGACGAATTCCCAACAAAGAAGTGTTGCAGGAAGAATTGCTCAGGCAGAAAGTGCTCCTTTCGCCGGCGAAAGTGAAAACTCGGATCCCGCAGCTGAGCAGCTCAAGTCTCCAGATTTTAGCACAGGATCCTGCGACTGAAACGAAGGGGGTGCAAGAAAGGATCACATTGGGATGAATGTTTGCAAGATGCAGTTCATGTTTGAATGATGCGTTTATATAAGTATTTCCAGAATGGTTTGCCATGCAAATAATGTTTGAGATGTTCTAGCCATCTATAACTTCCTGGGCATCGACTAAAGAGTCATCCAAATGTGACGTTCGTCCCGCTCTTGACAGCGGGGTCACCTCGTGCTGTCTTCACTGTTGCCCTTCTAAGTCCCCAAAGCTCAAGACGGCAAAAGCAGAGCAATGCAATGCGATTACTTACTTGCCTATGGTCTTCTGCGACTTCCTAATGATCAACACAAGCTGTGCTGAAACAAAAACATGATGATGCTCACGCGTTTCAGCTGTGGTATGTCACTGTCCCAGCCCCGGACTCAAAGAGCCACGTGTCTAATACAGATTGCATTCCAGCTTCACCTCCCACGTGGCTCCTTGCTCTTTAGCAGCATGGTTCCGCGAGGCGTATTTTTTGGGTGACCTCACGGAGCGAGCTTTTCACACTTCTTGGACACACCTGTTCCTCACGTCTCTTGTATCTTCTTGAACGAAACCCACGGGTGGAAGTGTGGATGTTCCTTCTCTCACTGCCTAGGGACAGCAGTGTCACGCCGTTCCGCACCTCTGCCATGTCCTAAGGCGAGGGGCGAAGGCTTGGCATGACACGGCGTTGCTTCTTTGGCCAAATCCTTGACTGTCTTTGATTCAAACCATTGCTAGACTATTCTAGTGCCATGTTATCTGCCATGTTGACGCAGACTTCAACTGTCAAGACAAAGTAACCCAAAATCAAAATGATCGTATGCATTCCTCACAAGCCAAGCCTTAACATCGTGAACCATCTGTGAAGTCGCCTAGCAATAACACACCACGATCCTGATTTGCTCCGTTTTTCCGGTTTGGCTCCTGCTGAAACTGCCAGGTGCGGTTCTTTTCGTGTATGAGGGTTCCTGGTAGCACATCAATAGTCCTCCTAGGAGCGGAGGACTCTTCGCGCTCCGCGTGGTCGTCGACGGAACACACGTCGACGACCGGAGCGCTCGCGTCAGTCGAAGGGACGGTGACGAATGCATGCACAGTCCGCCCATGAGCGTGCACAAATGATATATGCTTGATGTCATTGAGTAGAACGGATGACCGCATGTCAATATGTCGGCAAGGATATCTGAGGAAACCGCCAAAGTCGGGAATGCAAAAGAACATGTCAAAGCGGAATCGATGCTCACTGGTAGCAAGGGCATCGCTACTAGTAGCAAGGGCATCGCTGCTAGTAGCTAGAAGCTACTAGTAACAAGTTCTACTGTTAAGTTTCCCAAAAAATCTAAGAACCTAGAGTGAGCTGGTGCCATCTCTGCACCAGTGAAACATCTGAACCTCCAACGCCTGACATGTAATATATCCTAACATTCGAGCCTGAAATATCGCTCTTGCCGAAGGCACTCAAAGGCCCCTAGCAACTAACCAGCCGCAAGAATCTCAAACAATGCGAACGGTTTCACTACGTCTCAAGGTGCTGGGCCATCTTTCGGACTGTTGCGAACGGAACTTCTACGAGAAATGAACTGTGTCAGCCAAAGCCTTAGAGGAAAATGAACACTTGGTGTCACTTCCAGGATAAGAAAACACTTCCAGCCATATGCTTCAAATAGCTTCACCCTGTTGGGGGAACAAACCCGTGCCAATACACCAGCGGCCCCGTGCCAGAACTGTCCTGGAGGTTGCAGGAGTCAGGTGAATTCGAACATGCACTGTCGGTGGTCGCGTCTCTCTCGCTGCAGAATCGGAGTCATTCCGAGCAAAAGGGCACGCATCCTTCCGCATAAGTTCATGGTGGATTCTTCTATTTTTAACTAGTAGCGTCCTTGCTCCTAGTAGCGATGCCAGGAGCCCCTAGTTCCTAGTAGTAAGGCCAGGAGCCCCTAATGTAGAACATCTCAAGATCTTCATTGCGAAAAATGCACGGCTAAAGTACATTCCTTTTTGTTTCTACGACTCAAAACGTTTCACCAAAACTTATTGTTGCTTCTTGTGTCCAACCCCGTCCTTGGTGCCTTGATCACTTTCAAGATACTTTTTCAACGGCTTGCACTGCTGCTGCTTCTCAGTGAGAGTGGGCGATCCAGCCCTTGTGATGCTGATTCTGGGTGTTGGAATGGGAGCCCTAACTATGTTGAGAGACTGCAAGGAGTTCTGCACGGAGATCAACCAATTCTTGAAATGGCCGTCTGCCTCCGTTGCCTTCCCGTTGTTCTCAGGATAGATCAACTCCTTGGTGGTGCTGCTGTTCAACTTCTCCGAGAACTCTGAAAGCGCTTGGACTCTCCTTGTGGTGGACAAACCAGTGATCATCGTCTGGCAAAGTGCACCCTTGCTGTAGACAGGAAGACCTGGGTTGGTCTGGTCTGCTCAATGCAAGTTAAGACAAACAGGACAAAAGAACAACGGCCAAGACACTGTCGTTTTAGGAGCCTGTAGTTGGTCCCCACCCCATATCTTTGATTTCATCTGCGGCCCGTCGCCCACCCGTCCCGCCAACCCCCCTGTCCGCCCTCACCCACCCACTCACTCACCCACTCACCCAGTTACCCACTCACCCTCCCTCCCTCCCTTCTGAATGTTTTTATGCGAGCCACCCTGTCACTTCGCCCGGGCGCTGGCCTCGATGGTAATACAACCATGTCAACAACAAGATCTAACACGATAATGATGAGGTTGACAGACTATGTCACTATGCGCTGCAAAAGATCCAGTGAAGTCAACGACATTGCCAGGCTGATTCCGGTTGGGTTCAAATGCGGAGCGCCAATCACATCTCACTTTCTATGTTTTAGTGTTAGTTGGTTTGTACTTCTGCTTTCCCTTTCAGAGCATAAATTGGTAGATGGCGCCCTGATTTGCCAAAGCGCAAGGCACGAAAAGCATACCAGACTTATAGGATATCTTGACGTCCGCTCAACTTGCCTTGAGCGGCGCGTCGTGGGTGAGTGGAAGGCTTGTTGTCGCTTGTATGTAGTTGCATCTAGTCTATGGCACACTGTGCTGCGACACTACTTCTGTGACGTCACTGTGCCATGTTCTGTGTTACTATATAGTAACTTCTTGTTACTAGTAGCGATGCACTTACTGCCTCCCTGTGCCATTTTCACCGGAGTTGACCATTTTGAGTCGAACTCGTTGACCATTTTCAGCGTCGCAAACCTTTTCACAGTCCTGCTTGAGCCACAGTCCGGTATTCGGTCTTTAGGCTTCTGAAGCTGACTCCACCCTGAGGGCCCTGCCTGCCATCCCCTCCTCCCTCACTCACTCTTCCTTTCGTTTACGACCTTCTCTTTCTTTCCTTGCATGCTACATTAAACTTCACGTGTGGGCTTATCCAGTCCTTTTTGCTCGTCCCGTCTTTCATTCAATCAAAAGGGTTCGGTCCGATAGTGAGTGGCTCAAATAGCAATGGACCAGCTGCCGTGGCAGAAGATGGAGCACCCCGGACTAGCAGCTCTGGCGAAGGAAGTCAAACTTCGTTCCCTGCTGGGTAGGCCATGTCCACTTTTGCTGGCTACGACTACCATTCTACAAAAACTTCCTAGTGAGCTAGTTCACTGCCTTCTGTCCCTGCGCCCTTCCGCTTTCCCTTCCAACCGCTTTCCCTTCATCCCTTCACCAAGCGGCTTCGCCAGGGGACGCCAAGGGATGCCTTGTTCGCCTCCCCGATCGCCACGCCCTCACCCAAAAGCCGTGGAGATGGTGATCGGCACTTCGTCCGCTCGCCTCAACGACGCAACGATGACGGGGATCTCCGACGACGGTGAGGGCGACCGATTTCTCTTAGCGTCGGTTCCCGCCCAGAGACCGTACCAAATTGTTGGACCAAAAGCAGGATGGAGATCGACAATCCTGAAGAGATGTTTAGAGGAGGCAATTACTTATTGCTTGTCTCAGCCTGAGCCATGCAATCAGTGACTGCGATGGGAACATGGGCCATCCAAGCGCCAATCTTTTCCAAGTCGCCATGTCCTGTAAGGGGGCTTGGGATCTCCGTGTTTTTTGGCCGATTCAGCCGAACCTTCACCTTGGGAAACTCGCTCTCTTCGGCAAGAGCAGCAAGCCTTGTCTTCAACCAATCAGGGTTTGTCGGCAAAGCTGATGGAACTTCAGTGAAATTACCACTGGGCTTGCACCGCTCATAGAAGCACCTGACAGGGGTAAGAATTGGAGCAACAGCTGAAGAGTATTCAGTGCCGCAGTAAGCTGAATCAGCAGGAAACGTAGCTCCATCTATCTACTCTTTGTATCTCTTTGTGGTATTTTGGTATCTTGAGCCCATTGATCGGCCCCAGTCAATGGTTACCCACAAATCTAAGACCTCTCAGGCAATGAGGAGGATCTCAGAACTGTGCCAGGGCTTTTAAAGGCTTCTTTCGCATCCTCCCCAGAGCGCATATAGGCAGAGAGCTGCGTTTCTCTACGGGACGGCACCTTGCCGTGGGCTCGTGGGCTCTCGGAGACGGGAGAGAAACCAGAATCGGATCTCTGCGTGGATAGACATCTACTCATCCAATGAATTCCAACCAGCATGACATCTGCACTGGTTGGAATACATACCACAATTAAAAACACCTGAATATGTCCTTTGGACAGCGTTGATGAGGATTTGGCTTCCGGCTTCGGGGTGACGAAAATACTGCCGTCCAACACCGTTGTCCGAGCCCGGCATACAGTATCATACAGTCCAACAAAGCAGAACAATGACCTGTTGTCCAAGCAAGGTGGAAAAGGCAAGAGGAAAGAGAGCAAAGTCTGAACAGGGCCTTGTTTCTCGTCAGAAAGGTGCAAGGACTGGAGTCTCGGTGGAATGTGCAAGCTTCTAAGCTTCTTAGCTCTAACAAGAGTTCTTACGAAGCAAGTGGCTTTGAACAGGAAAGTCCTTATATATATATATAATAGTGCGGACCACATCCTTGGGGAAAAAAAGCTGCCAAAGCTATCCACAGAGATCGTTCTTTTCTGGGTGTCCCAAGCAAGTGCAAAACAAAGCCAAACCCATGAGCTGTGACATTGCAAAATTCCCTGATCGAACTGTGGACATTGGGGCATATTGGGATCACAGTGGATCTGCAAGAGGTACTGTCAAAATATATGATCCGCGGCAGACTTGCACCTTCAGATTTGTGAGTCTCCTATAGTCCCCTATCGTTTTCCAATGTTTCGTAACCGTGTGATCCAGGGATTTAGAGGGTCTCATCCCAGGTCTCTTCGTTTTGTTTCCGTCCCTGTATGCACTTCACATGGACCTCGAAGACTCGTGGATCCACTCCGTCCGATAGAATCTCCCACACCCTGATCCATCTTCCCCATGTTCACGGGCCTCGTTGCACCTGGGAGGAGTCCAGTTGCGAAATCAACAACCCCAGGTGGTTCGTGGCAAATGTGGAGGCTGAGCGACGTCTGTCTGGGTCTGAGAGAATGATTGAAGCTTTTGGATGATGCGCCCGAACGGTGAGCCGAAGTGGGTGGTTTTTCGACGTCGAGACTTTTGTCCGAACATCGTGTACTGGAAACAACTGATTGTCACTTATTGTAGAGTCAGATCTGAGCATCCAAAACCACTGGCCTTTCTGAAGAAGATCCAATTCTGTCAGAGATAAGATCCCAAACAGTGAATATCAAGGGCGCGTCTCACCATTGAGTGAGTTCCGGACCCATCTCGGTCCTCGCAACCGAGCGTGGCAAGGTCCTTAGCCAACAAATTCAATCCTGAACTCCCTGCAGAACATAGAACTCAATCATAATTCTCATTCCTTTTGATACTTCTATACAGAACTTGGTGACTTGAGGTGAATTGGAACACAGTGATGTGGTCAAGGCACCAAAGGTGGAGATCGCGACCGTCGCAGCCCCGCTGCCGGCCGCCCGCCAAGGTCGCGGTCCACTAGCCTGGAAAGGTAGGGCAGGGTTCAAACCATAAGCCTAAGACAATGATGCGCCACGGCAAAAGAGACCTCCCCTTGCCATCCACATAATTGTCCAGGATTCACACACGGGTTGCAGATGTAGTTTTCAGATTGCAAAAGTGAACAGCAAGATCCAAGTCACCGAAAGATTCTGAATTATACCACTTGTCGACGCAAACTCTTATGAGACCGTTACGGAAAAAAAAAAAACAGTGAGCCAAAAAAGAATGAACTACAGGGTTCGAACCCTTCTTCGGCCTGCCCCTTTGGCAGCCGAAGTCGATATAGTCCGCAGAATGAGCACGGACTTCGCTGTTGCAGACTCCTGGATCGAAGAGCCGAGTCTTCGGCTCCGACGGCTCGCCGCGAAGCAACAGACGCTCCGACCCCAACCGCAAAGGCCAAGTGGGCGTTTTTGCGCCGGAAGGACAAGAAACAAAAAGTCCTACTCCATCCTACTCTGGGGGGTTTATACGCTCATTCGATGTAGACTCTCTCCGACTCAAAGTCTGAATGTGGCGTTTCGGCGAGCCCTCCGAACCTGCTGGTCGGTCCATGGAGCCTTGAGGTGGCCAAAACCCCGATGGAGGCCATCCGAGTCAAAGCTTTGCTGAAGAATCGATATCGACTCCTCCGAGAAAAAAGGGTCACTTGCAATCTGAGGGCTTGACCGGCTGACAAGCGAAACTACCAGACTCCGTTTGGAATCTGTTTGGGCTGATTGGCTGCGGTATTCACCCTGTCTAGCACAGCAGCGACTTGGAAGTAGCCAAAGTACAGTCGTGAGTCATGAGTACATTGCCTGTCCAAAGTGCCACAAAATTGCAATCGGATGCAACAGGGCCGGCCCAACAGGGTTGTGTATGTCTGATTTATAAGGTAAACTGCGTACATTGAAAAGGAAGGCCATGCTATGCCAAAGAGGAGGGTTCCACCATCTATCTTCCACAAAGTCGGTCGTCCGAGCTTGTGAGAATGCTGAGTGACCAGCATTGATGTATGCTCCTGGCATGTTTCGTTATCAAACTTTATCCAGAACGCAAACATGACCAGAGTCGATGCTTGAACTTTTACTTTTACATAATATTGAACTTGACCAAAGGAGTGGACGTCAGCACCGACAATAGTCAAAGCATACGACAGGGGTTGCGATGGGTTTTAGAGTTCTAAGCGTGGTTCAGACTCATTCGACAGAGTGGACCGGACTTCGGGGAAAACACACGCCCAGACCACACCATTGTCAAACCAGCCCAACGGTTTCCCCCCTCCAATGTGCCTACCGCACTGAGCTTCCCCTTCGCACCCTTCGCACGGCACCGGTGGCCTGAGGCCGTCTGCCCCAGAAAGAAGAGCGGCACCAACTTCGGGGAGATCACCTTGGAACGAGAGTGCTTGGGGCTGTTGCTTGGATTATTGTTCTGGCCAGGTTCCGAAAATGG